CACACACACACACACACACACACACACACACACACACACACACACACACAGAGGTGGGGGGGGGGCTCAGTGTGGGATGAAGCATTAATGTGGTTGCAGCCTGGTTAGGATTGATTTCCTGCCCTTCGCTTTAATAAATGTCTTCCTGAGTCATTAAAAGAAAAGAATGTATCAACTGCATCGATCCACACAGTTCATCACATGGAGTTCATCACATGGAGTTCATCACATGGAGTTCATCACATGGAGTTCATCACATGGAGTTCATCTCATGGAGTTCATCTCATGAAGTTCATCTCATGGAGTTCATCTCATGGAGTTCATCTCATGGAGTTCATCACATGGAGTTCATCACATGGAGTTCATCACATGGAGTTCATCTCATGGAGTTCATCTCATGGAGTTCATCTCATGGAGTTGATTGGACATGTGATGAAGTGAAGCTTCACTGACTGAATACACACTGAGGATGATGATGATGATGATGACAATGATAAAAGATAATGTTTTTTTTTATAAAATATAAAATATCTTTATCCAGCACGTTTTACTAAGTCTTTTTCTGAGCATCAAGCTTTATTGTGAACTCTACAAAGAGCCAACAGAAATGAAAACAGTTCAAAGATTTCAGAATGAAACCAAGCTTCAATGCTTGTTTCATCTGTTTGCCCTCAGGTTATGAGTTGGGGATGACTCTTAGCTACTACCACACCAGAGTTTAGCTCAGTATCTGTAAAACTGATTAAGCTTTAGTCTTTTTTTGCTGTTAATTAGCAATGACAGCCATTTTGAATTGTGTTGACTCAAAATTAATTTACAACATGATTGCAGAAGTTAATTGAATGAATACTTTCTGACAATCTGTCCAGTCCTTCATTATGTTTTGCTAAAAGCCCTGTCACACTACACAACTCATACCAACTTACGAAACATTTTTATGTCTAAATTGCTAATAAAAGTTATTTATTTGGTCAATTTGTTCAAATTACATTATGTACACGCCAAAAGAAGCTTTCTGTTGATTTTTTTTTCCAATTTCATCTTCAATGTAGACGTCCTTAAAATGTTCAAGTTGGCATAAGTTGTGTAGTGTGACRGGGCCTTAACAGAGAGACAAACAGGAATTTACATAATCACCCACATTTTATGGCAGCAGACAATAATTTGTTAAAAGTTTATGGCAGAAGTTAACTGATTAAGATTATGGATAGACTATWAATGGTAAGTTTTAGGGAAAATGTCTGGGTTTGGCATAAATGCAGTTACAAAAATGAATTGAAGTCAATACAAAGTCGTGTGTGTGTGTGTGTGTGTGTGTGTGTGTGTGTGTGTGTGTGTGTGTGTGTGTGTGTGTGTGTGTGT